GTGTGTGTGTGTGTGTGTGTGTGTGTGTGTGTGTGTGTGTGTGTGTGTGTGTGTGTGTGTGTTGGAGGGTGCGTGGGTGCTGAAGAGAGCAAAGGATTCCATCTGAAAGAGGGGGACGAGATACTGAGTGGGAAAAGCTGAGAGAAGGATGGAGAGAGAAGTGTTCAGCAGCTCGTGCAAGTAGGAGGGAGGAACAATATGGTGGCCAGTGGCGGCATTGTATGCAGACACCTTGTAAATGTCAGATGTGCCTGTGATCTTGCTCGGCGGCAGCATGTGTTTGCACAGGAGCATCTGCAATCTCTGTTGGTAGATGTGGCAAGGCAGCGTAGAATTAATCCTCAGCAAAAGTGCAAAAACCAGAGAAATGCTGTTGATTTTTAATAAAATTGCTTTTTTGAAGAACCCAGACTTATGCTGAGAGTTAGGGCTGACCTCAGCCAGGGCACAATAAATGCACTTAAATCCCTTTAGATCCCCCAAAGGTACATAATTCAAAACTATATCACTTATCAACTCAGCTCAATCCACTTTCTAGTTCTTTTTATTCTCCAGAAGTCAGCCCTGACACCACCATAAGCTCAATGTTGGCCGTCACGAGCACTGAATTCCCAGCTTTAAAAACATGCCTCAGGTTGTGATGAAAGGAAAAAAAAATAAAAGAGTCCCTGGAGTTAAGAGGCTAGATAACAGGAACAAGCTTGTTAGGTAAGGAAGGATTTCTCCTGAGACAGCATCCGCGTTACGGCGATCAGGCTTCAGCACAACAAATGTAATAAACAAAACTGCTCACAAATGCAAGTGGTTCGATAAGTCTACGGGCATCTATGGCGAGCATATTAAAAGAAATGAGCCACCCAGTCCTTGCTCCTGAAAGTTCACTTTTAGGACATTAACAGAGGAAAAGGAAACCTGACTCTGAGCAAACTGCTGACCTGTGTATGTGTCTGTTTCTCCGAGCCCCTCCACACCAATAAACATCCTCCTTCCAGCGTCCACACACACACACACACACACACACACACACACACACACACACACACACACACACACACACACACACACAGGGCCACTCTATCTGCAAAACACATACTTCTTCCTCATTGTGAATCATGGAAAGAGAGAGAGAAATACCACACATTTTCTCTGCATAGTTGAACAGTACTAATTCTATCTGAGGCGAAAACATAAAATAAAGATGCATTGTGTTCGCTGTCATGCAGCAACTTTCAGTGGAATGAAGTTACCAAGCAAGCCTAAGTGCAGCTGTTCATCTGCTCCAAGCCACTATGTGCACTAAAACAACGTCTCATTCCTCCGCAGATGATAATCTGTGTAAAACATGAGAGAGATTCAATCTTTAACAAAAATAACACCCAGCTCTGCATGACTCCAGATTCCATCAGTTCTCCATCGGGATAACATATGCAACAAATTCAACAGTGCTAAACGCTAGGCCTAAATTATTTCCTGCCTTTGGCTGCCAGCAAATCGTTACCTGGCAGCGTGTCGCCTCCATCAAACGTCCACAGATGCCGTATCTTACCGTGCTGTCCACTCACTCACTCACTCAGTCTGTCAGCTCGACTGCAGCTCTTTAGAAACACGCTCCCACAGTAAACACCTCGACACCAGACCACCCTTCTCCCGTTCCACATCCTGCCCACTTTACATCACTCACTTTTAGAGAGCATGCTCTTTCTTTGAAAAAAAGAAAAGAGAGAGAGAGAGATAAACATTAACCATCTACCTTTTCCCCGGCTGATCGCTGTCTATATAATCTGTAGTGCAAAACACAGCCACACGGCTGTATCCAGCTACGCGGAGTCGCAGATGAACACACACTGACAACACAGCAGCACACAGACCTGTGGAGTCCAAAGCCTCCTCTATGAGTGGAGGTAAACGCAGTCCATCCATAGCCCCCCTGTCGCTGCTGCGAAGAGGGAGAGACGGAGGAAGAGTGGGCGAGAGAGGGTCAGAGGGTCCGCACGCCCACCTCAGCGGCCGCTGCTGCTGCGCGGAGAGGAGAGGAGGGAGACAAACACACGGAAAGTACTGATCGCGTGTCAAGTACTCGTACAGCACGCGCGCGCGCGCAGGCTTCCAATCTCACAAACTTGGCACACGCAAACACACACGCGCATGCACACACAAACCGCCCGTACCTCGGGAGAGTTTGGGAAAGATCCGGGGAGCTGAAGGCTGGGCTCTGGAGCGTGGGAGAGATGCCGAGAGGGAAGAAGAGGGGAGGAGCGGAGCGCAGGGAAAGATGCTGTTTTCCAGATGGCAAGCTCCGTCTCCCTGCCCTCTCTCTCTTTCTGTCTTTCACATGCTCTCTCTCCCTTCAGGCTCTGTTTACTACGTTTGCACTCCTTTTTTTTCTGCACCATCCTTCTCACCAATGCCTCCACTTGTGCGCCCCTTTTGCAGTTGCTGACTTTTTACATTTGATTCACGATCATCGAGGCTGGGACGCAGATCTACGCAGAAACGCGGACAACAATGATCACCAAGGCCCCTTTTTTCAAAAGTCTTTTCACAGGTCCAAATGTGTGTGGTGATGCTTTAGACTAGCTTGCTAAATGTTAGATTTAGTTGGAATCTTGGTGATTCATTTTTAGAAGCCCTAATAACAGGTAGTGTGAAAGGCATCATTGGCAATGCATTAAAAGTAGTTCAGACAATCATAGAACCAAGATATATGCAAATCCTACTTATAATAAAACACCGAGCCGTGCTTCCCTTTTTTGTGCACACATTTACACTCACATACACTCTCTCTGTCTCTCTCAATTACTTGAGCATATTTTGGCCGTGGCCCCAAAGCCAAATGAATTTACCTATAATGAGATCCAGAATCCAGACATGCTGTTGCAGTGGAGGCTGACAGCTAGCGTCGCAGATTACTGATCATTTCCCCTCCATTGTTCATTTCCTCCCCTCCCCTTGCTGACTCTCTCTCTCTCGCTCGCTGCTAATGAACAGTGTCACTTATGCTATAAATATATACATCATCTCAACCATAACACCACTCACTCAATTTTCATCACAACTTTCACACACACAGCTTTTTTTGTCTCTCCGTCTGTCTTTCAGCCCCCCACCACCACCCATACACACAGTTTCTCTCTCTCTCACACACACACACTTTCTCACACTCAGTTTCAGCTGCCATCACATCTGGCAACTTCTGTGCAGTAAGGAGCCAGAGATTTGAGGTGTGGCGTGAAAGCCTGAAAATATGTCAGCAGACAGAGAGAGAGAGAAAAAGAAGAGGAAAGGAATGGGGGGCCAGGCTTAACCGTTTGCTGGCCCAGGAGGGGGATATTTCTAACACTGCACTGTCAGGAACCAGGAAGTGCTTTGCAGACAGAAGATGCACACACAACGTTTGACACATGCACTCTCATGTGCAATCTGGCAGCATCTGAAAGAGGAAATGTGTTTAAAAAAGGCACAAAAAACTGTAGCGGAACGGAAATAGAAGGAAGCAGAAAACCCGTGTCTGAGTAGCAGCATGTTCCTGTTGTTTCTATCTGTAATGAACAGCAAGTGATTTCTGAGAGGTCGACAACACAAAACAAGGGATAGGAAGAAAAAAAACAAAAACTGGAAAAGACCGATGTCTCCTTGTAAGCACTTCCTTTACTTCCTTGTGCAGCTTTTCTCGGGCAGCCTTAATCCTCAGACAAGGAGCCTGAGCAGGGAGACATCTTTCAGCTCTTAAGTCATCCCACAGTCTCCTCACCACACACAATAACACCCCCCACACAGACACACACACATACACAGGAAGGGAGAGCTGTGGAAAGCGCAGGCTGACAACACATGACAGGGTGTTGATAATGAGCTGACAATGTCTGGCTTCAATCCACGAATGTCACTCTAGTGTGGCAGAAGCAGCCGGGCTGCAAAGTAGAAGTGCCAAAGAGGAAATGCAGATACTGTCAAACCTTGGTCAAAATATTTTTAGTAGAAAGTTGAACCAGATCGATGTCATGTACCTGCCTCTCCACAGGCCCCACAGACTCAGCCATGAAGCTGCAGTGAGGATAGCGCTGACTGCTGCACTGTTAGAGGCTTAAAAATCACTCAGAAATGTTGTTTGGTGGGAAATCGCGAGCATTTTATTGCAGCAAATGTCTCTACGAGTGCCTGTTGATCAAGATCTGGTCGTCCTGCAGTGAAACTGTTAGAGATGAGTCGTTTTGTTCTGCTGCAGAGAGCAGTCCCACAGAGTGTGAGGTCACATGAAGGGAATCTGTCCAATCTGCTCAGACTGTGGTCTTTGTCTTGTCCAGATTCAACAAGTTACTGTGCCCACAGCCACAGTGCAGACGTCAGGAATGCGAGCCTATATTTGGCATGAAGAAAAAGAACAGATACACACAAACATGCACACACACGTCCAGAAGCCCCTTATTTCTTACTATTCCTCATATGCGGCATCACATTAAGCATCTTGCATTAGCGTAGCGACTGAATACGAGCGTTGACAAAGGATTTACATAAAAACGTGCATAACAACATGAAGAATTCATGCAATGACTGAGAGTATGTCTCACTACCAACTCATTTGATTTGCTGCAAAATTTCCATAAACATACGTACACAGCTGTGGTCCCCAGAGAAAAAAATCCTACTGTTTTCAGCGATTAACATTTGTGATTTGTAATGACGTGCGTCTGTAACCTTTGTACCCCCCCCCTCCACACAACCGTGAGGCTGTAGCATAAAAGAGGTCCTTAACTGGTGGACATTCCTTAATAGATTACGCACTAAGTACTGCCCTGTTTAACAGTCACTAATTTTATTTGTCAGCTGGGTGCTGCAAAATACAGAGAGGTGATTAGTGGTGAAGCTAGAAAATAAAGACAAACCACACGTTATTGAAAATCTGCTAATGCTCCCATTGGATGCTTCTGTACCTTTAAAACCAGCTTTAGAGGTGGCCTGGTAAATAACATTAAACTCTGGGCAGATCTGGGGCATGTAGATGTTTTTCACCAGCGCTGTAAGCTGAAACACTGTGTACTGCAATGCACCGAGCACTAGAGGACTACACTGTAAAATTTAATGAGCTGGCTTTACTTTAAAAAAGGAAAATGCAAAATTGATGACTCAAAGAAAAAGTAACCTCAACTTAAGAGGAGTAAGTTATACTTACTTAACAGGGTGCCAAGGATAGTATAGAGCCACAATTTGAAGTTAAAACTGTATTTTAAAAAGTCTATAGAGTTGTATTTTTTATAACTTTAGTAAATATTTTGGCAATAAATTCAGAAAACTATAAATGGCTATTATATTTATTAGTCAAGTCAAGAGTACTCGTGCACAATATTTACATTAAGTGTTATAAGATGTGGATCCAATTCCGTGTTACACGCATAAGCCTCATACGCTACACAGTCATAGGATTGCTGATTTTATTAGTATGCATAAGAGCCTTTCACTCCATCCAGTGCATCACTCCAGAAATCTCAGACATGGTGGTCCGTTGCCAGCGAAGCCTTTACACTGTTCTTGCCCACACAAACGCTTGGCACCACATCACACATCTGGTGAAATAATCATCACAATGTCAACAACAACAGTCTGATGAGTCTAGACTTGCAGAAGTATTAAAAACAAATCAAGCACACATTATAAAATTAATTACGTATGCACAAATACTCCTCAGCATTTGGGCAAGAAGTGCAAATAAGAAATTTCAGTTAAAATTCACTCATTTATTTAAAGTAAAGACATTGTTTGGAGTTACAGGGTGGGAGTCAAAATGGGTCCAAAGCACATTTTTAACAGCAGTTAAATCACAAACCAAAATAAACCTAACACAGACGCAGCTGCGCCGAGAAGAGCTATCACAAGTGTCATGCCGACCTTAAAAGGAACTTTGCAAGCATTGATGGCAAATTAAAAACACACTATCAAAAAAACACTTTCTCGTTGTTTTCACAGATCTAGCAACTGCCCAACAGCTTGTTAAATTTCTCAAAAATGATCATAATGACCAACTGCTGGTCCTGCGGCACTGGTCAACCAGCAGAAACCTCACTACAGCCATTGAGCTGGCATAAATTGCTTGCGGATACACCAGAGGGATCAACAGGACATATAATTACTCTGCAGTGACAGTGTATCATTGTCATTGTCTGCAGGCCGTGTAATGGAACCTCAGAGCCATAAAAGACAGTGATTCACCCCCACAATCGACTTTACACCACTGGGCTGCCAGCCTTTAACTCCAAGCATCACTGTGGCGCTCTATGGTTGCTTAGCAACTAAAGGAAATTGGAGGTGCCTTTGAATTAGAGCATTTTAAGAGCAGATTTATATGAAGACCTTGATGATAAATGCCTCCATAAATCTGGAACTTTCTATTTCTATGAATTAATCGCTGGAGGTTCTAATTCTGGTTTTAGACACTGCAGCATCACGGGGGCTGCAGATCTCACGCTGGCTCTATTATGAGACTGTGGCTCGTTTCCAGATGCAGGCTACATTTTCATGTTATAGTGCAAAAGCAGAGGAAGGGAACATGGCCTGTTTCCATGACACCATAAACAGGAAATAGGAAGGGCCCAGTGCTGCCAGAGCAGTCTACGTAAATCACCGAAGAAGTTAGCAGAGAGGTCAGAACTTTCCCATAATTTCAGTCAATGCACGAACGACACCAGAGGATTTCTGAAGAGTAGCGCCTCCACCCTTGGCTTCAAATGGAGGTCCGATGGGCCTGTAGCCCAAAAAGTGTTGCATTTGGGGATTTTTGTTTTCAGCATTTATTTTCAATGAAATGAGCTGGAGCATGGGATTTCTAGCTCCAACCACCTGATAGTGGTTTACATATGCTCCCAACTTTAGGTGTAGTTTGGAAATGAGTGCAATCAAGAAAGTATGTTCCATCCTAAATCCCTGACAGACCAATCACCGCAGACATACATTTGATGGGTGCTCTTTTTATGTGTAAAACAGGCTATACTAAGGACCCTTAAAATAATGTTTTTCTTTTGATTTGAACCAGATTTACACAATCACTTAAGCCTTCAGCTCTCTTCACTCAAATTAATTGAGGCCTACGTCGGCAGTGCCCTCTGTAAACTCCAGCCTATGTTTTTATTTATGGGATTATTTGGAAGTGAACGGACTCTACACACTCAAC